ATCAACAATAAGCAATGCCGCTACTTGCACTGGAGATGCAGTCCCTAATACTGGACTCCAACTGCACACTGGTACTTGTCAGTATCATTCACAACATGTTCAGTCATTCAAATCAGTATAACTTAAGAGTAAAAAGTACGAAAATCCTGTGAACTTCCTTGAGAATTTGTCCTAGAAGCAAAGCATTCTGTAAGTCCCACAGTATTTCTTGGGGAGGAGGAGAAGGAAAAGAAAGAGAGTCAAGGATAGCCATGAAATAGCGTCCCTTCCCCTCCAAGGGAAGTTGCAGCCAGTTTTTTAGAAATGTTTTTTCCTTAAAACTTTACTGCAACATTATCAGTTTTGAACACATGAGAGACAACTGCCTGTGATGGTCACATCTCTAGTAAGAGGGTCACTTCAAATGCTCCAAAATATCATTACAATCTTGTGTTTAAATACACACCACTGGTAACCCAACATTTTTTCCCCCCATGGTTTTCTTGACACAGAAACACTTAAGGCTGCCACTTTTAATCCTTTAAGAACAGCTTTAACAAATTCTTGCTTAACAAATTCTGATCAACATTTATGATCACCTAAATTAGCAGTCATCTCTTACTAAAAAAAACCACAAGTAACAGTCATCTGACTGGGTTCAAGCAATACCACTTGTTACCAGTGCGATGCTTCTGAAAATGTTTGAAAGTCATCAAAATGCAGAAAAGAAGACATAAAATGAAACTATGTAAGAGACATATAGCAAGCAGGTAACAACAAAGGCAAGATGTTGCTGTCCTCAAGTAGAACCATAGACTGCTTTGGGTTGGAAAGGACGTCTAAAGATCACCTAGTCCAACTCCCCTGCTATGGGCAGAGACATCTTCCATTAGATCAGGTTGCTCAAAGCCCCGTCCTAGCCTTGAACACTTCCAGGGATGGGGCATCCACAACTTCTCTGGGCAACCTGTTCCAGTGTCTCACCACCCTTATCGTAAAGAATGTCTTCCTTATATCTCACCTAAACATACCCTCTCTTAGTTTAAAACCGTTACCCCTTGTCCTATCCCTACAGGCCCTGGCAAAAAGTCTCTCTCCATCTTTCTTCTATGCCTCCTTTATGTATTGAAAGGCGGCAGTAAGGTCTTCCTTAGTACTGGGATTTCCAACTAGTGAGGCTGGTTTCCTGGTTAAAATGGAAACGAACTATAAAGCAGGCACCAAGTACAATGTAAAAAGCTCTGCCAGACCTGGCTGGATTCTGTCCAAGGCCAGCTCAAGCTTCAGAGCCACACTGCCCAAAAGGAAGCTCAGGAGGCAAGTGGGGCAGCCTGCCAGGGGGCAGGGACAAGGGAGATGCGGTGGACAAAGATCACTGCCAGAAGCGACTTGAACTAAGAAGGATGTGAAGCAGTACCAATTTTGTCCAGCGAGGACCAGCTACAGAAAGTGGATAAATCCTGACATGGTACCAAGAGAGAAGAAAGGATGTCTAAAGAGAATGGGCTAATAACACACAGTAGTGCTACCCTTCACCAGGACAATCTAACAGCTACTGAAAATAAAGCTACGGGAATTACTAGTCCTGAGGTGATATTATGTACCCTTGTGGGGAATTGATGTAACTTGATTTTAGTGCTTTGCAAAATAACTCTCGATCCTGGACCTGTTCTTCCATCCTTTGAAGCTGCATGTCCTGCAAGTTTTGCTACAACTGAGAAGAAAGTCCTTAGCTTATGGATCTATCTCTCTATAGCCAACCTCTGCATTACGGCCATAAATTAAATATAGGCGCATGGACCACCTACACTGTAGGATCAGCAACAACAGAAACGTTGCAATGAATGTGTGGGTTGGTTTTTTTTTTAAAGACTTAAAATGTCCTGCTCATACAGCTGTGTGATGACCTCTATGAGCTGCGTAACAGTGTAACAAATGGGCAATTTAGTTGCTCCACAAACCACAGATTATTGTAGTGTTTAAGAAAAGATGCCATCTGTAACATGATTGCAAGTCACCAGATAGCGCTTTTTAGACTGCTAGAGAAGTTTATTTGAACTTAAAGGAAGTAACTGACAAATTATAAAATGCCACCTATTCTAGAGCCTGTAAGAAAATACATAAAATCACTTAAAGATCTCTTTTTAGAAAGTACTGCATTTCAAATTATAACCACTTTCTGCAGTATTTAATTATCTATTTCCTCTGAAAAATACGGTTCATGTATCCTGATGTTTCATAACCCAATTTATAAAATGAAGACTTTAGAGCCAGGCTATAAGCCAACAATTATCAACTATTATATGGGATTTAATTACTCCTTAAGTCAAAGGAACTATGTTTAAATCTATATAGTACTTTGGTTTCCTTCTAAGTTATTTCAGTAGTGAAACTTGTTTGACCAGTTTCATTATTATGTCAACATAAAGAAATCTGAAACGCAAGAAACTGGGAAACATTAAGTGAAACTCCAGCCTTGGAGAAGACTGGAATAATTTCAAGCAGAGGGAAATACAGGAAAACAAATAACTGGAATTTAAAAATATTTTGTCTTCAGAGAAATTATTGGTCTTAAATATAGGTTTAACAAATTAGGAATAATAAGTGAAATACATGAAATGTACATCAGTACTTTCCAGCCAAAGAATTCTTAACATAATTTAACATAAATTCTGAAAAATCTACAGCATACCAGTTCTGAAACAACTGCGTCAAGCTTACTATGAAGCAAGAGCATGGATATATAATTTTAAAACAATTACACACGTCTGAAATACTAGGGTTCCTAAAAAATGTCAATTGCAATGTTCTTTTCTAAAGCAATATTCATTGCTTTCCTTCATGAAATTTCTATTTTCTTGTTTTCCTAAGAAGAGCTGTAAGAGAGGCAAAAAGGCCAAGGACAGAAGAGATTCACCATTCAGCAAATGGGGGATGGGGAAAGAAAACAGGTGCATTTTGGCAGTCTATTTTAATCATGAAGACAGAGCAGGCAACTTCATTTTTCTTTCTTCCCTTCTCATTTTCACTCAGCAGCCAACGAGAAGCAGCAGATCTATCGATTATATGCATACTACGTTATTGCATGGGTAAGTAAAATCAAGACATGAAATGGAAGGTAAGAGCAGCAGCCACAGCTTTGAGTTTGCATCTCAAGTATCAGACTTGCCCATAGCCTGGTCTACCACTGAACAAGCATAATACCCACTTTGCAAATGAAAGATATCTGGCAGGTTACATGGAAACCCCTGCTGCCTGAAGCTAGTCTTCTTCACTGGTCTGAATGCTGCCTCCAACACTTGGAGCGAGAGAGGAGGGAAGCATTACGCTACCGAATTTGGCTCACTCTGAACTCACCGTGGGGTAGAAGCCAACTTTGTCAAAAGCCATAATACTTAAAGAAAGATCTCCCAGGCTTGTTCATGAGTATATAAATCTTGTCTTATATTAAATGTACGTTGAGCTAACCAGAATATTCAAAAGCTGCTATAGCAATTTTCAACAACAATTGTAACTATTTTTGAAAGACACATATTGTCTAGTAATACAAAAAAAGCTATTTTTATTAGTTTTTCTAAGTAACAAAATAAAAAGACATTCCCAAAATTATGTAGATCAGTACAGTGAGTTCACTATAATGATTTACTATAGCATTATTATGTCTTTTTTTAATTTCACAAAGTTGGATGCAATGAAAAATGATCTTGATATAATATATAATAAGCAATCTAAACACTTGAAAATGTTGAAATCATATAACCGCACATGCACACACAAAAAGAGTAAGTCACCAAAAGCACAAGTCTTTACTTTTGAACTCTTTTTGACAGTTCCCAAATTCAGGCACACATCCAGAAGAACTTTCTGCCCCACGTCTGGTCAGTGAAGAAATTGAGGTTAACCTTTAATTTTTAATGTCACCTGCAGCCAGTGACTGCTTTTTCTAATGCAAGTGACAGATAAACAGCAAAACACTCCCAAGATGATACACAAAGCACCACACACCATAAGTGCATTTTTATTTTTATACCAACTCAATTTCTCAAATGGATAACCAATGTTCCTACTAATTTACATTAAGAATTGAGTGAGGCATGAAAATTGTTCTGATGCATAGGCTCTATTCCTTTAATGTACTGCATAGCGTTCTGTACTTTATTGCAACACTGGAAAAAACTAACTACACTTAAAACATACAGAAACTATACATAAAAAAACTCAAGTACACATATGTCTTAAAAAAATCACTGCAGAAAGGGTTTTAAATTATCCAGAGCAGTATGAAGGAAAGATAACTAATTAAAGTCACTGATGGAAGTCAGTAAAAGCAAAAAACTGTTCCTGTTAAAATGAGTTTCCTGACCTCTAATCTCTTGAACTGGTGTTTTCCTGTAGACCAATACTAGAACTCTGTATCTACACTGCCAGCATTTCAACTTCCTAACTCCTTTACAGTATTAAATAGTATCACCTTAACATTTGCAAGGTAATTCCAAACTAAACAGAGGGAATATAGCAAATTGAGGTAATATAATCTAGCTATTTAAGGCAAAATTGGCAAGTCTTTAACAGCAAACACTGTATCATTACTAAACACTGCCATGTTGTTAATGTAAGGAGAGGTTTGAATTAGACAGTGAATTGCCCCTCCAGGTCGGGACTTAGGGCATATTATGGGAGAAAGCAAAGAAAAGCTCCCACTGACACGGTCTATGTTTCACCAGTTCTGGGGAAAGCAGACTTCAATACAGTTATTTCTCACTTTTAAAACCAAATACTACACTCAATATTTTCACTTGTCTTTTAAAATTTAACGTAGTGAAGTGGGGAGAAAAGCACCTATGTTTGTAAAATAAGACAGTTTTTTTACAGAAAGGGTATTTAAAATAATTTTTGGACAACTACAGGAAAGACATCACAAACGTCATTTTTATAAATGCTAAATGTGTAACTACGACATTAATGAAAATGAGCCAAACTCAGTTTGTTTTTTTTAAAAAAACATAGAAAAATTAACTCACATAGCAGCAGGCGCTCAAACACAGAGGAGACTGCTGTCCTTAGAATAATATTCTCCGCACATTCAACAGTCAAGTAGCGTTGCGATAAGGACCAGCCACCAGCAGCAATGAGAAAGCTGGAGTAGCAGTCCCGGTACCAGACTTCTGGAATTGACCTTTGGATGGAGAATAAAGATGCTTGATGAAAAAAAGCTAAAAACATTTTTAATTTTTAGTTTGACCTAAAGGGATTCAAGTGACCAATGGCACCGGATTTCTTCTGGAAATTTCCGTAGAACAAAAAGTCAAGTGACCGAAACCAGTATTTTTTTTCAAGTCAAATAAGTATTTCACATAATCATCTAACAGGAGAGATGGAAACAACATTTAAGATAAGTCCACGTGGTTCAATTTATTTATTTTTAAGATGACAATAATGGTAGAGAGACAACTCTAACAACTTGAGCATTATTCAACCTGAAATTTGTATCAACATGCAATTCCTGGCTATTTCTCAGCATTATTTTCAATTCTTCCTCCTGTAACTGAACTTCTTAAAAATGTGTATTTTACAAATTTCAGTAACTTGATATTGTTAGATGCATTTTCTAGAAAAATTAGTCTTCATTATTAATAAGACCAAAAAAATTGTACAGGGTTCAATAGCACACTACAGCTGGTTATAAACAGACTAAAAATGTTCAAGGCTATGGTTCTAAGAAAAATTTAACAAATCGAATTCCAGCAACTGATCAGCCATCTATATTTTATTAACTCTCTTTTAACTGTTCAAAAATGCACTCGTAAATCAAGAAAAAAATCTTTCTAAAAAAATCTCTCTTCAAAACAGGTTTATGCAGAGCTTTTCAACTACTGTGAGATAATTAAACTCTATTCACATAACGATGGGATACACTGCTATTTTAAAATAATTTTTCCTATTAAAAATATACAAAGCTGATAGTGTTGAATTGGAAACAGCATCTTCCCTTTTTGAAAATTTGGTACTTTACTCTGTTTCTACAGTGTTTCCATCACAAAACCTAAGAACACAGCCATCTAGACACATTTTCAAAAAAAAAAAATCCTAGAAGACACTGATTTTGCAGGTAAGTACCCAAATAGCTCCTGTAATCCGACCACTGTTGTCAAAACAAATTAAATTGCACTTAGAAATAAACAATGAGAAACATACTCACTTTGAAGGAATAAATTTTGGGATTTCTTTTTAAGAAATTAAATTAAATACAATTGTCTACACATGAGTGTATTAAACAGTTCCAACTAAATAGTGGTTTTGTTTTTTTTTTAATTTGGATTAGCATCCTAGTTGCAATAAACTAGCATATAAATGTATTTTTATTCTAGAGCATACTTTGAGTTATTAAGCCTGGCATTAAATTTTGTAAGAAGATGTAATATTTCTAATTCAAGACGACTTGGAGTATTCCTGTATTACTTATTAATATGTTAAGTGAATGTTTGGACAATTGATTTCAACTAGGTTTTGTGACTAAAACATGTGACAAAATACAATTTTCAAATTACATAGTCCATTTGTCATAACTACTGCTCTTTCTAATTTCTATAGGTGTTAACAAATTAAGTAAAAAAAGCCGCACTGACTAAATAAAGAACAGTAGCCAATTCAGAATTTAAAAGCAACCATCAGCATCATTTACATACAGCCATTAGCAAAGTATCTTTACTGATTTTCCTTGCTGTTCTGCTTCCCTATTTCCTTCTTTTGCTTTTTATACCCTCCTTCCTGCATTTTCCCCTTAAACAAACCAAAGCCTGCAAATAAAGAACAGTGACTATGTATATTTGCAGAGGACTTACTACAGTGAGACCACAGTCTTGTACTGACGTAATAATGAATAGTAACAAATTTATTGCTCAAGTACCACAACAAGCCAATTCAGTCACAGCTGGATCCAATCAGTGACTGGTTTGCTTAGAAAGATCAATATATTTAACATACTAATCCTGTAAATTCTTACTGAAACAACAGAAACATCCCCAGCTAATGGCTTAAATAATGTTTATGTAGCAAAAGAAATAGAAAATATTACTCCATATAAATTTTGAAAACAGACATGATAATGTATTTCATACCAGTGCAGCACAATGATTTTCACATTATTCATGCAGTTGTGATAGTAGTTTGCAACAAGTTACACTGTAGAACGGTCTCTATCCCTGCATTGATGCTGAGTTATAAATGAGTCGAATAGAGTATGGAGAATGGGAAAAGCATGTCTCCCCATTTAAGCATTTGGACTAGCTGAAATCAAAAGACAGACTTACTGTGAGTATGAAGAAAATTTTATCAGTGGAAATGAAAAAAATGAAGACATAAATTACTGAAATAATTTACAAAACAGAATATAGGATTATGTTAAGATTTGTGTAATACGACACAAGATATAAAGATTATTTTTCTTGAAAATTAAGAGAGAAAGTAACTTGATTACATGAATTAGAGAGTATCAGCAAACAGAAACAGGAAAGAAACTGCCTGTATTTTAGCAAAGGTGATGACATCCTCATGTAGACTGCTCGTTTTGTCTGAAGGATCCACACTAGACGTTTCTGGAACCTATATGGGGACTACATAAATCAATACCATGGCAAAGGCAGACCATCTGCCAGACTTCTCGAACATTATTTACAGAAAACAGTCTTCAAAATACGAATAAAAAGCTTTCCTTACTTGTGCAGATGCCTGCATACCCACATAGGTTGGAGGAAAGCAAGAGTTCGGTATCATATCATATGCTAGCAGAAGGTTCCTAACAACTAGAGTTACTCCAATGTTGAAAGAAGTAGTTATTGGGAAGAAAATGCAGATAATTTAACTTCAACTTCTAGTTGCAATAGTTTAGGAAAGCTACATTTTGCAGCTAACAAAATAGGCACACTAATACATACTTTCCAACGGAGTCTTTATGTTTCCCATGGTCCACTAGTCCTAAAACTATGCTCCTACTTGGAAGACTGAGAACATGAAAACATTCCAATGCTTTGCCACTTGTTCTCAGTATGTCTTACTTCACTATCTTTTCAACATACATTAAACTGATGCCACTTAACGGGGCAGGGGGAGTGGAAGGGAGTGGAAACAAAGAAAAGAAACTAGCTTAATTTTGCTATTCTCTGTTCTTCTTCCCCCAATCCTGTTTCCCTCAAAAAGAAATTACATAACTAAAAATTAATGTAGCAAATCATATAAATTACCTTGATATTTCACTATTTTACTAAATACATTTGATTCTCTTCTCATCAAGATTCAATGGTGTTTCAAAGATCTATGCTGGATCTAAACCTGAACGCTTTTCACATAGGCTTTCCATTTAAGTAAGTAAACTTTAGATTACACTTTAATTTTGAATAGCCACGTATTACTTTTTTGACATCTGTCCATCGTAAAACTGTACCAGAATTAAAAACTAAAAATACTAAAACTGACATCAAGCTATACTGTAAGTATTTTAAGAAGAACAATTTGTTTAAAAACAGAATATGTGGCATGCTTAAAGTATGGAATTTGGTTACTGAAGAGAGTCTAGGAATGCCCCACTTCTGCATTGCTTCTCAGGTATACATATGCACAAAAGAGCATTTTAAGATGCCAGAAGCTGAGTAAGATACATACTTGTATAGGTCTATTAAATCTGTGAATGCAGGAGCTGCTGCATTTCACAGTCTATTATTTATATGACAGAATGAAGATCTGAAAACATGAAATATAGCCTTAAATTATTCACTTATTCTTTTCACAAAAGGAGAAACCGTCAATCTAACACTAAAAGACTTCAAGCATATTTCTAAAGGTTTCATGAAAATTGCCTTATTTATCAAAACTTTATTCCCTCTGTTTGTTCATTAAATACTGTAGCTTTGCATTAAGGTCAAGCAGTGTCAACCAATTACTACTGTTGGAAAAGTCCTACTTCCTTAATACTCAAAGAAACCACGGTATATAGTGAATTATTTTAATAGGCAAACTGAACACTGTTTACCTAAAGTACATTTCAACCATAAAAATGAATTTTAAGGGTTTCTATATCAACAATCAATTATAGTACTATTTATTATCACAGCAGCATTAAGCATGATTCTTTGTCTGCTTAAATGCCAGCCTTAAAAAAATACACATCTATTTTAGCATATTCAGCAATATTCAGCAATTGGTATAAACATTCTGGCTTATGTCCTCATTCTCTATTGGTGGGCAAGAGAGCTCGGCTCATATGACAGACCTGAAAAAAAATCCACCCTGATTTCACTGCTCCTAATTTTACAGTTTTATTTTACGGTAAAATTCTCTGTCTTGCAATATACAAGAACAGGTGAACAACAGATGAATGATGGATTTTAAGTGGTTACACACAAATTTATTGAACACCAAGAAAAGGCCACTCATGGGCCATCACACCAAATACCAAAATCACAGTCCTTCAGGATAAAAGGATTTCCATAAGATATTTTGATGTAACAATTTGGGATAGAGTCCCCGTTGTCCTAATTCAATCTTTTCCCCAACCCATTTTAATGGCCTGCGGTTCAAAAGGCTAGAATGATGATTTTAGTAAGTAATCACCTCTATCTTTACACTTCACATAAGCAAAATTTTGGACCTCATTTCCCTTTGGAACTGACCTGTTTACTCCCATTCCACCTAATACATAAGATGTGATGAAAGAACACTTAATTTTCTGATTGTAACCTTTGAAATCTTACTGCTATGAGCCCAACTGTGCCTTTCTGAAGTTACAAAACAAGCAAAACCAAAGAAAATTTCTTCTACACATCCTGTCAGCTTGTCTCACTAGAAAAAAGGTTTCATTCGTGTCCTGTATCAGTGATCAGAGACCTACAATGATACAAGACACACATACCATTGCTAAAAACAAGGAGAGGAAATAACGTAACAAAAGGAATGAAAAAAAAAACCCTGAAAAGAGTCATGCTGAAACTTACAGAGGAAGAGAGATGTAACAGAGTAGGATCTGTTGTCTCATTATTTCTAGATCAGAATAAAGAAAATCAAAAGAAGTAGAAAAGAAAAAAAAACCCAACCAACCAAACCTAGAACAAGCCCTCTCCTGTCCCCCCAGGTGGGACAAGTCCCACCTACAAGTTCCAGTCTACCAGTGAATCCTGAAAAGAT